GACCTTTATTATGGTGAATATATGTGTTTTGTATGGCTGTAGTGCGACAGAAAATTTATACGTGACACAACGACATTGGATTAACCTTGAGATGCGTTTTTATTCAGTTGAACACAACTTTTGATCACAAATCAAAAAAGGTAAGACGTAATTATTGTAATATTTTTGGAACCGGATGTTGTTTACTTTCTCTTTTCTGGCTGATAGCTCCAGGAATTTGAGGTCTTACAGTGATGACATTACATGTGTGGAATCTGTGGAGTCTCAGCTTTAAATCGTATATCTTGTTTGTGCAGTTAAGATAGTAATAAGGGCATTTCTACCGTGTGTTGTGTGTAAAAAAGCGTTAGCATTAGTTAGCATTGTTTCGCTCAATGCTAATTCAAAGGCTTGGTATTACTCTTGTGTTTTTTCTAGCTAACAATTGTTCTTATTGTCAGTTAGCGGAGTTTCTTACCTTTAAAAGGGTATGAAACATTAATAGTTTCATAAATGTTAAGAAGCCCTGAGACATGTGAGAGAAAAAAAACGGTGGGAGGGGTCCACTGGGGGGACCTTCGGCCTTAACTGGTTAACAATGATTAATATTTGTAAAGGCTACAGGTGATCTTAAGATGCGTGAGCTATGCTTAGGGACCTACCGGTCAAGATTATTTGTGCGTAGGGGTGCATCATCTGGCGCCTGGTCCTGGTCATCCTCGCCATTGCCCATGCCGTGAACCATCACCTCGGGCTCGGGCTCGAACAAATAAGGACGTAATGGTCCATCTTCTGGCTCAATATTGTCACCATCGTCGCTTACTGAACCGGATTCAGATTCAGTTCCTAAAACGACATTTTCGTAGGAAAGCCGAGAGGATGTTTCTGACTCGCTATCATCACTGGATACCTCGTACAATCCTTCTTCTTTGTCTGGTATATTTGCCCTTCCACGTTCATTCTGCATAGACGCCATGGTTTGTTATCGTATCGTCTTCCTGAGTTTTCGTCACTTCCGGTTAGGCTGAGAAACATTTCGTTTCTAAAAAACTTCGGGGAAGCTGCAATAAAGTGCTTCTAACATGCGTAAGGCAATTATTATATTTTTTTAATCAGGTGTGATTGTTTTGGTACGTAATTATGCTTGTATATAAGTTAAAACGAAACTATTTGAGGTTCCATTTCCACTATCCCTTTAAGATTTCGTTTTTACAAAGGGTATAGAAACGAAATATATAACAGAGATAATAATGATATAACATGACATAAAGTCCAACAAACCACAAGGACAATGAAAACATAGCCTAATAAAATGACTACATTTCTGACACACCATTCACCATGGACAGCCACCATGAGAGCAGAGCAGTGTAAAATTGGCACGGCGGCCCATACATTCACGTACAAGTAGGCTACTGTACAAATTAAATTTGAAGTGTACTCACCACTACTTGAATGGTACTCGGCGAGCCTTGCGCTCCGCGAACTTGTCCACAATACGCTGTATGTCCAATTTCTTGGCTCGGTCACTTTCGATGGACAGCAAGAACAGTCCACTCAGTCTCTCCTGTCCCATCGTGCTCCTCAAATAGTTTTTGATGAGTTTTAATTTGGAGAAAGAGCGCTCGGCGGTTGCCACGGTGACAGGAAGAGTCAGAAATAAGATGAAGGCTGTGCAAACCTCACTGAATGTAGATGTTACTGCTGGGTTGTAAACAATGAGCATTTTTACCAGATCCGCGACAGATTTTAGTTTTTGTATTTGGTCCCTGAAACAGGTTCTGAAAGAAAGCAGCTGGCCAGGGAAGCTGGCGGCGATGTCCCGACTGTAGTGCTCTCTAAGCCGCTGGGCAGCTTGGTGTAAATCCTCATCCTTTGCTTGCAGTAGTGTGTTGGGGTGAATTGCCTCAAACATGTTCACAGTTGCATTTAAGCTGGTGAATCTTTGGGACAGTTGCTGGATGATTATATCGAGACATGCATTGAAAACGGTCACCCGAAAGTTGCTCTCTGCGTCAGTGAGGCGGCTGTCTTCAGAAAGTTCATCAAAGTGTCTCTTAACTTTCCTGGCCCTGGTTGTTTCAAACTGTGTTTGACTTCCCCATTTAGTAGCCAGGGCAAGAGTGTCCGGTACTTCTTCACCTTGCGGCGCAGCCAGTAAGGAGCCGGAGGGGGAGGGGTGCGGCTGGTCAAGCGTCAGGCCTGGCTCTCCTCTAGACGAGCAGCTAGCAGCTAGCAGCTGCTGAGTCGTCCCTATTATCATCATCACTACAGCCGAGAGACAGAAAAGGAAATAAGCTAGGCGGCCGAGCTACACGAAGTAACAACAACCATATGATATCAACATTTACCACAAACTCACATTTTCTTGTTGACAGTGTGTGGCCGTGATTGTAGCCTACCTGTAAATCTGGCTAACCCCCACTAACGTTGTTGGCGGGCTGGGGCTCGGGGATGAAACACGGCTGGCGAAAAAAATATCCATCGAGCTTGGACAATTTGGCTTTTCCTTGGTCCTCCTTTTTTATCTTTTTCTTTGCATTTTGTAGCTCCACTTTTGTGTTTATAACTGCTCATGCTTAGGCAGTGCTCTGTTGAATGACAAGTGATTGATGATGACGTTGACGTTCATTTACGAATGATGTTGATGGACGGCTGTTGATGACGATTGTACCCAAAATACATTTGGAGACAATAGAAGGGATTCACTTGCAATTTTTCATGTTTTAATGTTAAATGTGAGTGTGAAAATAGCAGCACAAGTTCAACTCATATTATAGGCTACAATGCTTTATACCTAATATGACCACGAACGTCAGTGCACTCAGTGGCGCGAGGCAGCAGGGCCCGCCCGAATATCTCGGGGGCGGAGCCTGCTGCCTCGGCGACGGGCCCCCATTGGGTCCCGACCGTCCAGGGCCCGGGGAGCCCTGCCCCTACAGCCCCCCCTGAAGCCCCGCCCCTGGTCAGGAGTAGTGATGTTACGTATTGCGCCGAGGCTTCGGAGCGTGTGTCGAGTAATCCCCGAAGCTTTTTGTGAAGCATGTATCGAGGCTTGTATCGTTTTGGGCCAGTGACGTCATCGATGACAAACGAAGCCTCGCTGCCTGTCGATACCACGTGACTGCTTCAGGAAGCGATTCAGATCGGTTGAACCGTTGAACCACAACGCTCATAATACCCATGGATGTATAATAAGAACCATATTACCCCTCCTGTACCCGGGCCCGGTGACACGATGGAATCAAGAGAGCTCAGACCCTCACTTATATAGAGGTCGGAACATGTCATAAGTATAAATAGATACAAGCATAAATAAATGTAGGAAAAAAAACATGAATGAATAAATACAGGAATAAATATGTTACAGTATTTTCAGGGAGATTCAGCGTGTGTGCTGTGGCTCAGCTGGAAAGCAGTTGACTCATGACCGCAGGGTCTCTGGTTCAACGACTCGTCAATACGTCTTTTTTGTTGTTTATAAAAGCTACAGCTAAATGAGATAATGTAGTTAATAAATGTATTCTTTGATATGGTTTAGCCTTTCTCAGGCTACAACATGGTTACGTTTATGAATATTATTAAGGAATACAAATCCCTATTTGTAATGTTTACCAGCCTCCTTAGGCTTTTCAATCACAATCATTCAACTGGAATAAAAACAATATTGTTAACATGAAAATATGATTTAATGTTCGTTGTTTAGATGTATTCTAAGGCTTTACTCATTGGGAACTCGGTATGAGAGAGCACACTGTTGAGATGTCCAATCTGCCTGTTTTACACACTTTGACCAACAGGGGGTTTGTGTTCAAATGAAGCCCATGATGAAGCCTCATGAGATGAACCCTTTTGCGAACCAATTGGCTGGAAAGCTTCAAAGCTTCATAAGGCTTCATCTCGCCATCACTAGTCAGGAGGTGAGGCCTCCTTTTATACGGTGTGATGCGCGCGCATTCAGGTAGGCCCGCCCAAGGCCGGCTACGTCTATAGAAGTCTCAGTGGGAGAATGCTCGCAGGGTAAGGTAGTACCCATAGAGTCCAGTAGAGGGCGGAGCCTGTGAGAGATATAACAAATGTAAGACCAAGTTTGGCTGCTCCCTTTTATTATTTGAATGAAACTCTCTGAGAGGTTTGAAAGGAAAGTGTGTTTATGTACATCTGAAATGTTACAAGGGGCCCAAAGTAAAAAAAATGGTTTAGGCTTTTACAAGTACGTGGATGAGCTTGTCCATGTTTTCATGTTAAACATGAATCAGAAAAGTTACTAGTAACTTTAGCTTTTAAATAAATGTATACAAAAGTACAATATTTCACTCTGAAATGTAGTGTAGAATAAAGTAGCATTCAATTCAAGCACATTGTGTAAATGCCTTTTGGTACTTTCCATGCAAAGTAGAAGTAGTATTAAGTAAATGCCTAAGGTGTGTATACCCTTTATCTACATGTTTACCAACTGATCATTAATCATGTGCATCATCAAAACTCTGTGATTAATGATGTGCTTCCAATCTGAACCCTGCTAATGTTTTCCTGCTGTTGTCGATGCATTTCAGACAGATGGTGCTTTATAAAGAATTAGAGTCATTATAAGAGTGACGGATGTCTTTGGACACTTGAGTCTCCGGAACCTTAATCCAAGGTCAACAAAGTATTTCACTGCAGACACTCACATAACAGCATTCATGCAGCTTTGTCATGCAGGACCCAAGTGATCGATAAAAGGTTGTCGCTTTCATTTTTCTGATGAAATACCTTACAATGAGTGCCGGCTGCCCCACTTCCACTTGAATTTGACTCGGCTGTCCACTGCGTCTGTTCAGCTCTTCAGATACAACGACATAACCTCCAGCTGATGAGTCACAATGTCATTTCACATGGCAAGTGCAAGAGAGACCCAATACAAGTATACCCACACACATTCAAATACACACACCCACACACACACACGGTAATCAATGCTTCCCATCTGTGGGCCATCAATCAAGGCAGGAATGAATAGTGAGGAACGAAACACAACATAAACGAAGCTTCATTTTATTTCTCTGAAAGACAAACAATGCCAAGATGTTTCGGTTGGTCAATATGTTTAACAACAGCTGTCAGTGTACAAAAGGTTGTATAACAGCCTGGTCAGCATCTCACCTTGATCTCTGAATCCCTTTTGTTATTTAGCACAAAACAACAACAAGCCTTTCACAATAATGGCCAGCAAATCAATAGCAAAGCTCTCACTTAAAAATGTTCAACAGTCTAAATAGATAATTTCCTTTGTCAGTCTATTACGTTCTTCTGTTAGTATCCAGTGCACATTGGTGGCTGCTATGGGGCATATGTATACATGTATACTGTTAACCTTGGGAAATCTTTGAGGAGGAGGAGGATCAATAAGTTGTTGTAAGAAATGTGATGACAAGATTTAACAATTGTTATTGGAAAGCAATACAAGTATACTGAATGCAGAGTTATAGACACAACTATTCCACATTTCTAAACATCCAAGGTGTTCATGTTTTGGTTTCATAGAGCTGGAATGTAGGCTTAAGAAAATATGTATGATCTTTTAACAGAAAGTCAAGAAAACTTTAATTTGAACAGAAAGGGGCCGATAAGAAAGTCACTCTTCAAGTGTATAAGATGTGATCTGCTAGAGTGACAAACTGCATAAGACTCAGTACAATTGAATTCCCAAATCCTTGCAGAATTACAACCAACAAGGAAATTGATATTAATCTGTGCTACAACTGGTTAAGCTTGAAGAAGGAAGTAGATTTCCAAACACCTCATCAGGCACTCAATGCTCATCATGAGCTTCATAAATCCAACAGGCAGTGGTGGGAAGAGATGCACTGCATTTATGGAGAAGGAAAAGCATGAGCATGAAGAAATAAACTTGACACATAAGTGACATACAGGTGGCGGTGAGTGTTTATGTGCGTGTGTCACTCCTGTAAGAGTTATGTGGCACTGTGTGTGCTGAGGATATGCACTGTGACATGCAGGTTGGTGACGCACTGCAAAAATGTGTCATCTGTAATGCCGCAGTGGAAAGATTGCGAGACAGGCACTCAGAGAGGAGATGAGAGGAGATAGAGGCAGCCGGAATTAATTAAACTGTAAATCAGTTGCAGTTTGTTGTGTGCGTTCACTGACTTTCCCCAGGAGAAAGAAATAAACCTGAAAATTAGAGTGATGAATGGACTGCAGGTAAACGTATAAAGCACATAAGTATGTTGTTAAACCCATTAGCCTTCGTTAGACTTCCCACCCACACAAATCCTCAGCTGTTCAAGGTATCCACAAGTGGGCAGACATTATCTCAGTTATGGGAGATAAACGAGAGGTAAATGCATGAACTCCTTCTGGTTCACGTAACATCGTCATGTTTACTCAGATAGAAACCCATACATCCTCAAACTGCTTCCCTGCATGCGTATTATGTCCCAACAAACTAAGTGCACTGTCTGAATATTTCTTCTGGTGGAATAATAAGTGAACCCAGACCCTGTTTAGCATTGCAGATCTAAATAGCTCAGAAGGTCAAATACATCAGAGTAAAAGCAGAACCCCACAGAACGGAAGGTTGTTTTAAGAAATGTCTTTATAATGGCATAAAAATGTCAATAACAAAATAAAGGATATAAAATACAGCAGCCAAACCCTGCCAGTTTGCTCTGTGATGCTAAGGTCACCAAGTGTTTCAGTGGGACCTGTTTTAATTCTTACTCTACCGCTCTCCAGGCGTTCAAGGTAATTGGCAATCTCATTCCAACTACGCTTGATTTAGCACCCCTGTAAATGTTTTTAGTGCTCAAGAAGTTAGCATCGGGGTGAAGCGAGAGCTTTCCTACTCTCATGAGTTTCTTAGTGACATTCAGCAAATGAATAGGAACTTTTTTTATAAAACTGGTAATGGAATGTGGGTTTTCTCTATATGCTTGGCAAATAAACTATAACAAGTTATTATATAAAGAAAAATAGAAAGTTACCATTGGCTGTCTATGAAGACTTTCTGTATGTGTGTTCAAATGGCATTATGTTTCCCTATACCATAATAAACATGTAGGTCTGTCTCATTAACATAATGAACTTGTTACTGTGACAAAAAAACAACAACACATTGGACCATTACTGGAACATGTTGATCATACTGTATGTACAAACCATCTGTGGGGCATTAATAATTAATTAGTTGAAGATTAGGTACATTGGCACTATTGGTGCTTCAGCAGATGATAATTCCTCTGTGACTCCCAGTCATTCTGTTCGGTGCCAAAGTAAAGCAGATTCAGTGCAGTTTCAAACACTGATGTGTACACGTGGGAGTTAAGACACAATGCAGACCTGATTTCAAATGCCATCTGAAGTGCTGAAACACTTTCAGTAAATGATTGGACTGATATTGAAAAAGTGGGGGAGGGGAGGGGGGTCTCTCGATTAGAAATTCCTCTCACTTGTGATTCCAGTCAGCCAATTTGTTCAGAATCATTAATTCACAGAAAACTCTAAAGTTAGTACAATTGCGCTAGAGTTCCTTCCAGCTCTGTCAGCACTTGATCCAGCACAATTTCAGCTCCTAAAACTGCATACCAATCACGGCCCTCAATGCAAATGACAGAATGATTTGACAACAAGGTGACACTCACATATGTGTCAGTTTGTGTATGTGTGAGATCTGAGATTTATGTTCTTAGGATGCAGCATAAACATCCACACATACAATATGGACATCTGTATGTAGGTAGGACACTCATTAGGATTCATCATGTATCTTTGTTGTATAGGAATTAAAAATGTTTCCCCAATATTTAAGTTATTTCTCCAGGAATAATAACTATTTCTATTGGTAGAGAAATGGCAACCTGAGAGGGTGGGTTTATTTTCTAAGGCTTTTGGGACCATTTTCATTCATATATTCAACTTTCAGATGTATCTCAATATAGAGGGGATAATGAACTATCTAAGTTCTATGGTTACTCTAATCATTAATAATTCCTTCTTTCATTCGTTTGATGGAACTTTGTAATAAGAACCTTGTAGGATTTAAGTATGCTTCGTTATGTGTCGAAGATACATTTAAAAAAAACAAAAACTTTTATTGTCATTACAGGTACTAGTACAGGTACAGGTAACAAAACGGTTTCTCTGCATTTGACCCATCCTAGTGTTAGGAGCAGTGGGCTGCCATTATTATGTACGGCACCCGGGGAGCAGTGTAGGGAACAGTGCCTTGCTCACGGACACCTCGGTAGCACTTGGTCTTGCCGGGACTTGAACTGGTGACCTTCCAGTTGCCAAGCCAAGTCCCTATGGACTTCGCCACCACCAAATTAAAGTGGTGGTTTTGATTTATCCTGCTGGATTTGTGATTTATATTGATTTTATGATATGTCACAACAATGAGGTGTCACCTATTGACACAACCTTGAAAAACAGAAACAAAAATACATGTTGAATGATCAATAAGTCGAACACTTGAATTTAACATCGACTCATTTTCAAGAGAGCATATGTCGAGAATTTCAATCGTGAAAAACTGCAGGTGAAAGATGACAAAAGATAGAAATTGAACGTTGAGGAGAAATGCTGCAGTGGTACCTTGGAGCTGTGTTGAGTAGGTGGCCTAGTTCTGAGGGATGGTGACTGACAGAGCCTGATGGACAGATACAAGATGATCCACATATCAGACATAAGCAAGAAGCGGTGAAGACAGGTGGATGCCCATTGATTCCCACTGTGCAACAGTCAAGCTCTCATAGACCTTCAAACTGGTTAGTTCACTAGAAAAATACTAAGCCATTGGTCGCAGTCTATGCAGGAAGTAACCTAAGAATCGTGATGCTGGTGGTTTAAAGTTCAAATAAAGATTAATACAGTCTACACAAATGCAACCAGTATAGTTATGTTCTTCATCAGTTTTCAAATAAAATATGTCAGGAATTGATTCAAATGTGCTATATTTGGGATTTTGCAAAAATAAAATTATGATAATGAGAGCATCTTGGCTGATCTGAACTGAAAAAACTCCTCGGAGCAGTGTGTCAAACATCAGATTTTGTGAATGTTTACTGCCGTAACATTTTAAAATAATTTAAATAAAATGTAAATAAAGAAACATCTTTGCTTTACCAGGGTCTCCATGTTTGCAGTTGGCTCTGATAACAGTAGGGTTTTAATCACATACTGGCTTGTACTCATTTAACCTGAATCCTTCTTGAATATACCTCTAATCTTTTGCAGACTACACAGGAGACAGCGTGCATATTTTTAAGTGAGACATAACAAATGACAGGTGATAAGACAATTCATGTACTGGTGTCAAAGATCAAGGAGAAAGTAATGTCAAGACAAAAGTGAGGAGGGAAATAATGGATGCACATTGTGTGTGTAGCCATCATTTCCTTTAACAGGTATTCAAAACAGGAAATCATTTATTCACTTTATCATTTATCATTTAATGAGCACCTACCAATTGACCTTAATTGAACTATTCATATCTTAGACTGCACTGAAACTTTTATCCATGTACTTTTTCTTTTAATGTTTAATTGAACTATTCATATCTTAGACTGCACTGAAACTTTTATCCATGTACTTTTTCTTTTAATGTTTATTTTCTTAGCTTTTCTTTTTAATGACTGATTTTAAATGCCTTTTTCTTAATGTCTTTCATTTTTTGTAAAGCACTTTGAATTGCCTTGTGTTGAAAAGTGCTATATAAATAAACTTGCCTTGCCTTGCCTTGCCTTACCTTACCAACATCGCTGGACATGCATCGCTGTCTTTCAGAGATACCAACAGTTAAAACATTTTTTTAATAGAATATCACTACTATAAAAGAAGTCCGTGTGTCTGTCTCTGTGTGTTTGTTTTGTAGGTTCAGTTGAGTTTGTTGTCTTCTCAAGGCTGTGGTGCTTTCTTCAGCCACAAGATAATACTCATGGTTTTTGGCACTTTCAAAATAAAAGGATTTGGAGGATGATCTTGCATTAGTCTGTTCATCTCGGCAGCTCTTCAGAGGCAATATACGTTCATACAGTTAACTGTCAGATAAAAAAAAGGAACTTGTTTAACATTTTCTTGTAGAACAATAGAATAACAATATTCAGTACTGATAATCCAACAGAGGACAGAAATAACTTAAAAAGGAAAAAAAGAAACAGCACTATGACAAATGACTGAAAATACTGCATAGTACAAATGCCCCGTTGCTTTTTTGTCCACAGTACAGAAGGCCAACAGGGACAGACCACAATGAGACAGACTCATCAGTTTCTCCTATGACCGAGGAAAACATTCACCCAAGGAGATTCCAAAACTACTAGCTTCTGCTTCATGGGCAGAAAGTTCACAGCACTGCCATGCCCTTTAAGATCAAGTTCTGCATGGCTGAATGAAAATACGTGAAGTGAACTTTGATCCCTGGAAAGTAGAGAGGTGGCTGCTGTGAAAGTCATTCCTGCTGGGATTGCCGGGCGTTATTCAGGTTCACTGCTATTTGTGGTTTTGTCCCACTCTATGCTCTCCTCACTGTGCGTGGGAGAAGGGAGGGCCCCAATGGCCCCTCCAGGATGCATCCTCAGTCCCTGGAAGCGCCGGCAATCAGGGCAAATGCGAATGTGACTGCAGCCTCTCGCAACCAAGGCAGCCTCCTGTGCCAGTCTGTGGGAGAGAGGCTCAGGTAGTCCGGTCCCCCCGCACAGCTTGCCGTTGCTGAGGCTGACAGCGGCTGCTCGAGCACGACGCTCCTCCAGGGGAAGGGGCCGCGGCCGCAGCGTCGAAGCCGTCCGCCTGCGCCTCACCTGCAGGCTGTCGCGACACAGGACGATCCCGTGGAGCTCCCGCAGCATCTCCTCACACATTGACTGCTGCAAGTACACACACAGAGAGAAAAGAGAGGGGAGAGGGGGATAAGAGAGGGAGAGAAAGGGAGAGGCCAGACAACTCACTGACTGACTTACTTTATCAGGACAAACAGATGAACAGCACAGACATAGGACAAACATTTCATCTTCACAATCAGTGAAACAACAGAGAGATGGCTGGTGAACAACAGATATAGCTGGTGTAGCTATAACAACCATCAGAAAAAATACATTTAATTAATTTTTAAACATACTTCACAGACACATGTAACCAACTTTTTGTCTCCTTGACGGATGATCCAGTGTTCCACTGAGTATCGACAATACGTAAACTCAAATGATAACAATGACAGACATGAGTTCAAGTGCGAGACAGGCCAATTACCAATCAACACATGCTGCACATGAACACACTGACAACTGTACGGATGCACACGCACATACCGATACACACACAGACGCACAAGCAAGCACACACAGGGTTAACAAGTTAGAGTGGAATAAATCTAAGGTGCCTAATAGAAATAAATCACATGAGTTTTTGACTTTCACAATCTGAATATTTATTGAATTAAAATCAGTGTGGAGTCCATTTGAAAGACAATTATCAAGTATCTTTGAAAAGAATCACATCAGAATTCATTATAACACTGCATGCAATATTTCTCTAGTCCATCTTTGTTAATAGTGTCCCCGCTTCAAGTATAGGGCAGAAGAACACCTTCACAAACAGAACTGATGATTTTCTGTGCATTCAAATTGGCCCTTCCTTCGTCCTGATAAACAAGGCTTAAAAAACTCCTCATATTGCTTTCTTGTCCCCACTCCAGATGAAGCTACAAACAATTGTAAATTATTCTAAATATGGTTTCGATTTATAATTCATACAGTCTTCGGATTACATTAATCAAACACTATCTCTTGGATTTCAAATATAAATCTTATAATAGTTGCTTTTTTCAAATCTACGTTAAGTAGATATCTTTAACTGATCATTTACTGTAACAAACTATTCTTCCTCTGCATAACTTTCCATCATCCAACCTCTGATGAAAATAATGACTTCTGATCTGTGACGATTGATTTTTGAACAAAGCCGTTCCAAGCATCTCTTAAATAAAAAGATTATTAGATAAAGGCTAAGATAAAACAATACTTTTTTAAACTCTCATTGGCTGCATGTATTTACCACCACACCAACACAATGAAACTACATTCAATATTCTTTATAATGTATGATATTATATGAAATATATATATATATGAAACTTATTCCGCTACAAATAGAAAATAATCTTTATATGCATGTACTTCGAGTGAGGTTTAAGTGAGGTATATCTTTGGTTTTGTGCTGATTATGTCACCAAGGCTAGACAGAGGAAGTGTGAGTGTCACATTGAACCCAAAGGAAGACCTAGACGCATGCTACACTTCCTGTCAAAGCTGTGCACTGTGGGGAAGCATAGCAGCTCCATGAGGGGGCGGGTGCGAGGGAGGGGAGAGGGAGACAAAGCAGATGCAGGTTAGATAGCCCTCTCTCACCTCATTTCCTGGAGCCTGTCTTAACATCCAGACAAATTCTAGCACTGCCATGAAGATAGCCACCAGCAGGCCACACACCAGCACCACGAAGATACCGCCGATATTCTCCATGCCCAGACCTGGAGACAAACAGGTGTGATAGGAGAAGTGAACATTACAGGACAAAGGAGACAAAAGGAAATTAAAAACATTAAAAACACACGTCAAGCAGATGAACATTAACCAGAGACAAACCTTTGGCACGGTGGTCCTCCTCTTTTGGACACTTGCCACCGTCCCACCACTTCCTCTTGAGGATTTCCAAACGATTGTCTTCCTGTATTTTGAGGATGGCCAGGTCAAACTCATCACGGTACACAGACCCTGCAGGGAAGAGAGGGGCAAAGCTCAAACAGGCACACTCCTAACGATGTGCCAACTGAAAACTGAACCTTCGGACGAATACAATATACTTGCAAACAAATCCAACATATTCACCTACTATTTTACACATTTCAACGTCAGATTCAACACAAAAATTGCACTAATAATATTACAATGCACAACACTCCCAAAAAGTTAGCTTTTATGGGTGTATTTTAAATTTCTCTCATGTAAAAAAATAACATGTAGGGAAGCTTTATTCAATATCTTTTATATGACACCACTGTCATTGCATCCCATCATGGTGTCACTGTGTCATGCAGTGACTGCAGCCCAAAGGAAACGAGTCTGGGTGGACCCCCATTTGTAAATGCACTTCAGTCACCAACAACTCCCTGAAGACACTCATAATTACACTATAACTGCATGTGGCCATTAGCCCTGATCTTCAATCCTTCAACTAATACCCAGACTCTTTATTCCTGATTCTTAGCTTCAACATGAATTATACAGTGTATCTAAGCATAACCATCAGATGTTGTTCTCTGCTGCCTTAAAGGATTCTGTCTTAGCCAATGACATCCAACAGGTGAAAGTCAAACTTGAATTTCTTCTTTTCTTGTCCTTTCAAAATGTTTCATTTCCCCATGTAAATCTCCAGTTATTCCTCACTCACCCGGTGGCATGCCGATGCCGTAGCCCTTCGTATCCAGCAGTCCTCCAATTTGAGTCAGGTTGCAGTTCCTCTGACGGTAGTACTCGTTCATGGTGCTCTCTAGCAGGTAAGCATAGTTGGAGTTGAGGACACGGGCGATGCCCTCCTCCGTGCTCTTTACAAAAACACTGGGCTGTTTTGAGTGCATGAAGTTCCACATCCTCTGGTAGGTCTGGTAGCGAGAGTTCTGCAGAGCGGCGAGACACAATCAAGAGAAACAAACACATTCAGATGTGAAAGACGGTAAACAAAAAGATACATCATCTCTCAGTTTTGCGCAGGTGGAAATTGGTTCTCATCTGTTATTCCTTTTCATTATCTTGACTGATGGATTCATTCAAATTCTACAAAAAGTTTGCAGCAGTTAAATGTAAAAGGTTTTATCTTGAGCAGATATGTTCCCACTTTATTAGCTTCAAAGTTTAGAACAGAATCTTCAACTAACATCTCCACCTGTTCTACTTTTTCATCACCTGTCTTTCCTGAGTTGATCAAGGTCTAGTGGACAGGCAAGCATAATCCATCCTTCACTGTCCTTCTCCCTGTCACACCTTCTTACTCTGTTTCGCACATTCCTATTCTCTCTTTCTGAAATCAAATCTTGAGGAGATGAAAGAGGATAGGGTGCGCCTCTCTTAGGGACCTGGACAGTGCATCTGAGGCTAAGTATATTTAATGGTTTTGGCAAGACACAGATAAAACCTTTAGTTGGAAGAGAAAGGCAGGAAGGAAACTAGGACATTTGATCAGGAGGATCAGGAGAAACATCACTGATGGACCACTGATCCCTGCAGGCTACGGGTGAGTTTTTTAAAATATTGATATACTTTATTAATCCCCGTGGGGAAATTGTTTCTCTGCATTTGACCCATCCTAGTGTTAGGAGCAGTGTGCTGCCATTTTGAACGGCGCCCGGGCAGTGTAGGGAACTTGGTAGCACTTGGTCTTGCCGGGACTTGAACTGGTGACCTTCCAGTTGCCAAGCCAAGTCCCTATCGACTTCGCCACCACCGCCCAAAAGAGAGTTTGTGTGTATGTGTGTAGCTGTGAATAAACAACCTATCATGCGTAATAAAGTGTGTAACCTCTGACCTGGAAGAAGGTCATAGTGGATCCTCCGTGCATGGTGCCGTACTCTATCGCCGTCTGATCTGCAAGGTCGTCGACTGACTCAATTGGCACCTCCATCCTTTGGACTGTTAGGAAGGCAGCCAGGTTGGCGGTGTAGGATGAGATGATGATTAATGTGAAGGCCCACCTGTAGAGGAGAGGCAGGGGACAAGAACATATGTATTCACCTACAAAAGTATGTAAATGGGAAGGCTGGTGTATGAAGATAGATTGTCTGGGTGAAAGTGTGGGAGGATTTAAATAGCTGCGCACCTGAGAGGAGAAGACATTGCAGGATTTTCAGAGGATGACGGGGTGGATGCGAGAATGGGTGGGTGTGTATGGATATAGGTGACAATGCTCGGTTTGGATGAAAGGAAGTGATGTTTTTGCTGCAAAGCCAGACATACACAGACAATGTCTCACAGATACACATGCTCAGAATCCATCACTTTCTTATCTTGAACCCTGGTATCCAGGAAATCTGGATGTAGTTTCAAGATCACATGAAATATTAAATGTATTCCACGATGGAGCAATATGCAACAAATGATAACAGAGTTGAATGGGTGAATAACTGAGTGGTTTTTAAAAGATGAACATATGCAAATGCTCTCATGTTTGTGTGTCCTTGTCCCCAATACTTACCACACTCCACTGACACAACGTGTGGACAAAGCTCTGGGAGCAATGGTGGATCCTTGCTGCATGAAGCCTCCAACAGGGAACCAGAAACTGTTGCCAAGTGAGTATTGGTTGATCAGCAGGTTACAACGACCCTTTAGACAGGGGTGGGGGTTGTACCACTCATACGGTGTCAATCTAGGGAGAACGAGACAATGGGGTTAGACAACAGAGAGAGTCACAGGAGGAAAACAGCCAACAAGAGTGGAAATGAAAGTTGGATTAAGTATTCAGACGAGAGCAAAACTCAAGAGATATGGGGAAAGAAAGGGAGAGACAGACACAGAGCAAAACAACTCTGACAGTCAACTGAGCACAAAGTCACCTTGGCTCTCTAGAGAGAATTAACCTGCTTTTCATTCCCCATGTGCTGCCTACTTTCACAGTGTGGGGGGGTACAATGTAATTGGTATGTTGAAATGGTGCTGCATTTCTGTGACAACTCTGTTATTTGCAAAAGTCTCTGTCTTACTAAGGCATAGCATCTTTCTGATCAGCGTAAATTAACAAAAGAAACATACAAACTGGACTTCACTCACTGCTCATTCGAACATTGAAATATTTAGTTTTTGTTATTATTCCTCCTGTGCAAACTGGCTGTGAAAATAAACCATAGCTTTAGTAGGATATTTCCTCTTTATGTTTCCCACCCTGTTGACTTGCTTGCTTTCTTATTACAAACACATTCCCTTTAGTGGATTCCCATATCATTTATTTGGCTATGTTCTCCTTAGAACTGCATTTGAAAGTGGGAAATACATTACGGCCATTCATTATATTGTACATGTACATTACAGCATTTGAATTTGTTTAAGGACAGACCCGAAAAAACATGAACCTCTTTTAAAATGCTTTACTGCCCAGTATGATCCTAAACAAAATATTGTTCTTAGCAAATGTAAGTAAAAACAGAAGGTGTATACAATTACGTTTTTATGATAAATAAATATACGACCCAAAAACTCACCCACCTTCTTGATCAGTACATTCAATATTCACTAGTAATTAGCAGGAGCAGCTGTGCCGTTTCCCTCCATGACCAGCAGGGGCCAGTGTGACACTGGAGACCCACCGGACAGTGTGACGGAGGAGACCCTCTCCTGATGTGATGAGGACTACAGACGCTACAGACTAGATAGATAGAGACTGAAGCAAGGCAAGAGAACAGACACCTGTTTCCTCCTTTGTGTAACCCCCAAACAAACCTTGTTGTGGTTTTACTCTCTGTTCTCTACCCCCTTTGTATGTCTCCTTGTTTTTTTCTCTCTCTCTCATCTGTACAGAGTATTTTTTTTACTGGTGAGCAGTTTACCTGGCTACAAGAAACAGGACACAGCTGACAGCCAAGTATGCTAGAAGCATGAAGAGCCAGACACCAGGGGAGAATGGATCCAGAAAGGAGAAGTAGCCTGGTCTACGTCCCTGAAAAACAAACACACAATAGGCATTAAAAGCATGAAAGCCTGCACAGACTGTGATCACTTGTGATCCAATGTTCCATTCACACAAGCCAAACAACACTGGCCTTTGCTGAGCAGAGAGCTTAGAGGTTCAATCATTATTTGTAGAGGTGCAGATTAACTAATTAGTTTGCTAAAAAACCTCCAACAGTTTCTAACATCATCCCCTAGAAACTGCGTGCCCCGGACTAATTAAAAAAAATGTTGATACATTTTCGAGTTGATTCATTTGCCTCTGGCCCATTTCTGTCTGTGTTAAACAACATTTGATGTCGCCTGTGTCATTTGGAAATGATGAAAAGGTGACTGGGACAGTAAATAAAGGGATTTTCACGTGATAAGCCTAGATTTCCCTGTCCTTAACTGATAACAATATAATTATATGAATCTCATTTGCGTGTAAACATTCAGATCAACATTGTATGAAAGCACAAACCCAGTCTCCCATGAATTGTCAACAGAGGGGCACAGGGCTGTATATTGATACGACATCACAGATTACAGGTTTTATTTCCATGATTCGGGGACTATCACCATTTAATGAAAAACTGAAAACGACTGACCATTACCTAACTGCTTTCTGTTAATTGGTACATGTTCTCACATGAAATCACATTAGATATAATAGGACGTCTAATCATATTAAAGGAACAATTGAAGGTCAACATCATGAGACGAACACCATTTGCGCCCTCCACAAGGTTGCATGCACCGAAGACAGAAAGGTCAAATAATCAGGTAAACCATTACAGCTACATTACACCAAAATTAATTTCTATGACCTATACCTGACTTCCTGTATGACTGGGAGCGTACAGTGCTCAAGCTTGGAGGGTACTTGGATTGGTAGTAAGGGAAATAAAGTGTCTTAAATAAGGTTGGCAGCTGGCATACCAATTGGAATAAAGGCGCTAATTGCTAATATTTCCTGCACCAAAAGTTATTATTTTCTAAATGAAACAAATGAATGCGCTTGTGTGCGTGTCTTTAAATGTCCATGTTCAGCCTAGCCTTGGTGACCGAACATCAGCAAGGGAATATTAGCCGCTTCCACACAGATGCACCTACAGTACTGTACTGTTACACCATCTGATAATGACTATGAGATGTAGGTGGTTGTCACTGCCAGCAACATGGTAAAATAGCGGCGTGATCAAACAACCAACTGTCCAAGTGTTGTCATCTTTCATTTCTGTCTACAGGTAGCACTGTGGAGCCAAACTGAACAAGCTCTAATCGCTTTTATGCAAAAACACTCAATTACTGTAGGTACTCCTGAGGGACATCACACATGCCAAAACACTGCAGTAATACATTTCTGAGGCACTCCAAAATTAAATTTGCAGCAAGAGGGTGAAATAATTTTGGTGGACATTTGTTATGATAAACGAACCCCCATTTAGACTTGCGCTCTGATGAAAATTAATTAATTCATCTGTAATCACTTCCATATTAGCCTGACTGAGAAGAAAAGGAGTGGTGCAGAAAGCAGGAGGAGAATGAGATTCAGTATCATTTTTTGACGCAGCCTGCCAGGCCTAATGTCTGTCTGTCAATCTATGGAGTGTAATGCTTATGATGATAATGATCATAGCTGTCTCAAAATAGAACAGTAGAGTGGTGAAACACTAGATGGCGATCAGAGGTAGAGTACTGCTGTAAAACAAATAGTACTCTTATTGGCACAAGCATTCTTGGTGTAGCAGTACATTGTGTGCTGACATAAGTCTTGCTGGTCCAGCTGGATGTATGCTGAACAGAGTTTTGATAAATGCTTCCCCTGCATGTCCACATTTTAGGCTCCCACCAAGGTGCTATCATTTAGATGAAGAGAGTTGTAGAGACACGGGACACCTATGCTAACAGATGGTGGAGAAGTGAAGGAGCAGGGGAGCAGATTAGAAAAAGAGGGTAAGGTAAAACGAGACGCAAATCACAAGGACGAGAGGGACACAGTGGGGGATGCAAGCTGCTGAGAAATGTAACATTTGTGGTTTAATATGTGTACTTTAACACTGAGTTTTATTTCAGCTGCCGGAGGGGAAATTATCCGTTGCGAGACTTCAAGAGACACACTAATGAGTACAAAGACGGTCAAATAGGCGAAATGGGAACTGCATAACATGTTAAAACAATGTGTGCATGTTTCCAGAAATGTGTCAGGAGATATTCCCTGGAAATATATTTTTCCCATTTTATGTCTTATTTACTAGTCCTAGAAAGAACAGGCTTAATTAATTCATCTTCCTTATATGATCATTTTGTGATGACATAAACTTAGATCTGGGTTAGTATGATGTTTGACATAAAGTCACGTTTTAGAAGCTGCACATATCAATACTGTTATACTACAGAAGGGATAAAACAACAGATAATTAAGACCAATTCAATAACGCTACAGAGCATTAGCCTTTGAGCACATTGTTTTGATTTAAATGCAGCAACCAACCCAGCTGTATACTTCCTGCCAAGCACTAAAGAACAGACAGGCAAACTGATGGACTGACTTGTTTAAACAGTGAGCTCATAGGGGGTCGGCTTTCTCTTCATTTTAGAAGTAGCTGTGTGTTTGTATGTGTGTGTGCTTGTGTTTCAAAGCTTGTCAGCAGCTGTCTGTGCTGTCAGTCAGCAGCAGGATAGATACAGTATGTGCTTGGGCAGCCGAGTGCCGGGGAGCACCGGTGCTGAACACAGGAGGAGCAGGTAGCTGACTTTTGGCTGGGGAAAGGCCATGGCTGGTCTGGTCGTTACTGTTAAATGGGAGATATAAGCTTGGAAAACACTGAAGACTCTAAAACTAGGAAGTAGGGACCAAACAAACTGAGAGTATTGACATTAATAATTGACCCGGTGCTTGAGTGAGATATTAAAAGTAAACCTGCTGCCATAAAGGGATTTCATAGTAGAACAAGCGCCAAATGTGAGCGTATAAGCATCAATGATATCCACAGGTTGCCTTGGCTCCTCACACATAAACATTTGGTACTGTGTTTGACTTATTTTTATTAGAGGCAAGGGAATAATTTTATAAAAGGTTTATCGTTAAGTTAAGATGATAAGATGGCGTGAAGCAAATCAAAGGACGGAAGAGATTGCAGACGTGGTGCAGAGGGGAATCGTCCTTAACGACTCATTTTCAGTACATCTCAACAAATAGAAGAGCGAGGAATTGCTGCCTATTAAAGTATGTATATATCCTCGTTTCTATAAACACGCAGATGAAGAGCTCATTCATTTTTACCTGGCATTGCCCTTGTTCGCTCCACACTTCCCAATGTCCCTTCTACACCATCCCTCTCTTTTGCTGCCTCTCTCAGGATTGCCTGCATGCCAGGAGGGTGGCTGAAGGAGCTGGTGAGGTTATCCCGTCAAGGAGTTCACCTAGTCATCCTGCCTCTTGGTATTCAGATAACATTGTTGCCCCCTGAGGCTGCCTGCCTGAATACGGACCCGCAGAAGGAGACTTATTGTCATTTAAATTCTCGCTCTCATTTCTCCATCTTCTCTCCACCATTTTTTCTTCCTGTCCATTTCTTGCTAATTCTCTTTCATGTTGTCTATCTTCCTCTCCTTCCCTGGGTCTCCTCACCTTCTGTCTCATTTTCAGGGCTCTTTCATAGCATGAGGATTTCTAGTTGTGTCAGTGCCGACGCCAGGAGTTCTTACTGTTGTTGAGATAGCAGCGGGGGCAATCTTCAAAAAGCTGTTGATTTTGCAGAGTTCACGGGTCATATATCAACATCACGCTGTCCCCTGGGCTCACTAGGTTGTCTGTTTTCATGTCTGAGTGCTTTGTTTGGTGCGACTGTGAATTACAGGGTGAAAGTATGTATGTGTCTGTGAACGTGTATGTGTGCAAGGCTACATATGTTTTTGTCTGTGTAATTTTGTCTGAGGTCGTGGGTGGCCAGAGAGTCAATAAAGCTCCATATGCCCAGCTTTACCCTCAGGGCAGCTGTTGAATCAAACACAGCCTCCATACACCCCTAATTAGTTCTTATGTCTAATTAAGCACCACTCTCCTACTCTAACATACGCACACATGCACTGCAGAACGGTCTCCAAAATGAAGGAAGTGTGTGGTTGACAGAACTGGCACTGATACAAAGTACCTCGGAGTGTTGGGGTCTTGGGTTACAGCATATGGCCATTTGTTGCGCAGATGATGAATGTAATAGGGATGTTTTTTTATTAGAAAAGGCTGACATTACCTCTAGGTTATGTTCCTAACTCTAAAGTCCAATTCACATTTTGTACCGGCTGCTAAAATGAAGGTGTGCTGTTTGATTTGTGTGTAAAAGCAAATCAAATGTATGTATATAGCCTCAAACCACTTGCATGTCTCCCACACACTATATAAGATAAATTGCCACATGGCTGTATACAGCGAATAATTAAAAACCACCAACCAGGCACGAAATCGCAGTCAGGCAAGACAGCTGAAGAACCAAGACAGGTACATGTAGAGGAAACTTCTGTGTAGCTATGCAGTGGGAGTCACCGACTCAGGAAGGAGACACGGGAAGAGCAGTAGCTTTGATGTCAAACACATGATGGTTTATTTGGAGTTAACGGCCGGAGGATTCACATCACAAGTCCAAGAGTCAGAGGTTCTGACTTCACGGTAGAGTTGCCACATCAATTCTGAAGAACTCTACCCCAGACCCATGTATTTAGCTAGTTCAGAGAGCATCATCAACATGCTGGATAACAAGATAGAATGATAACACCTCTATCAGCTGACTCCAACAGGCAGGAACAGGGAGACAAAACACTGAGAGCACAGCAGCCAAGGTTACAGGTGCCTGTGCTCAGTCAGGACAGTTTGAACTGATACACTGGGTCAAAGTTATGGGCCTTGGAAAATATTTCCACAACAGTACAGATCGTCTCTGCAAGGGCTTCAAGCTGTTTTATATCTGTTCCTGTAGTTTTTTTTCTTTTTATCATAACCGATTGAGTATACAAGGCAGCAGTGATCCCTTCAGAGTATCTGATCCCGTTTGTTTTTGTGTAATGTAAAACACTGTCACAAAATTATGTGTCAGGTAATTAAGTTTCGTGAATTGCAGCTGTACTGACTGTTCAAAGAAAAAGTTGACTTGTAGGAACAAGAATGTACTGTAGGAACAAGTGGAGTTTCATAAAGGAATGCATTTGGTCTGAATTTAAAGGCAGTGATGCTCTGGGAACAGTTTTATATAGCTTTGTAATACACTTGACTGATTATAGCCAAAATAGAATTATACGTCTTACTATATTGTTCTAATAAAAATAAAAAAGGTCAATATTTACTGCCTTAAAAGGTTAATATGCGTCACACTGTTAATAAATACAAAATTATGAAAACACACAGTGTGAGAGGGAGACCGACATACAATACATACATACATACTGGTAAAGAAGAGAGATATTTATTAAATGGCTCTTTCTCTGGGGGTAATTGATACTCAACATGCACCTTTATTTTATTGCATTTGCCATTGTTATTGATTAGGCTGAAATTTTCATTTAAAGTTTGAAATAAGCAGCAAATCCCCTTGTAGAAATCACTGGGCCTCAGATCAATAGTCAGTGGATTCAAACTAAACAAGTGCAGTCACATACATTCAAATATTGAATTTTAGAGCCATGCTGAGGGGCCGCTCTGAGCCAGATCTGAGAAAATGCCGAGGGGCAATGGGAGCGTAAAAGGAGTAGGTAATGATTGTGGGATAGATAAATAGTGAGAGAGAGAGAGAGAGAGAGAGAGAGAGAGAGGAGAGAGAGAGAGAGAGAGAGAGAGAGAGAGAGAGAGAGAGAGAGAGAGAGAGAGACAAGGGACACCTCTCTTCCCCTCCCCTCTTATCTTTAACCTTTCTCTTTTCTCTCTATCTTTTCAAAACCTTCATACACCAGCGCATTAACTTAAAAATAACTGATTTCTTCATTTCCACGTACTCAGCGGTTTGGGGTCAACTGGGCCAAGTCTGTGCTAATTTAACTGTGTTACTCTGTGTCTACCCTGAGGGGACATCATATCCATATCAGAGCCCTGCACAGGTCAGAAACTCCAGACATAGCCCCACGAAGTCTGCACGTTTTCAGCCTGACCCCGACCCCGGCCTGAGAGCGACACCAATCACTTCAAAATCTCTCTGACACATGCAAAAACACACAATTTTAATATTTATAACATACATTTAAACAATATATCATACAGTGGCCTACACCTGTGTGTGTGTGTGAGTGACTATGTGTGTGTGTGTGTGTGTGTGTGTGTGTGTGTGTGTGTGTGTGTGTGTGTGTATCAGAGGTGAACATTGGCCAGATGAAAGGAGAAAAGTTACATGAGCCTTAGTAACACCTGAGCCCGGTCTATAAGAAAAATGGTCCAAGCCCGGAACAAATCGACTTAGCGTGTTTGGGTTGCAAACCTCTATTCCAAATCACCTCGCATCCGGCTACCCACCTGCCTGCCCCCCACTTCAGAGGTGATATGCTACCCAGCAGCCCATTTAACACTGCACCTGTTGCGAGCATCGATTGATGTTGGCCAACTGTTGGCGCTCAATTGAGTCCCTCACTGCTACACCTATTAGTGCTGGACTTTGGGAAGGTGAGAGGTTTACAAGAAGCGGAGACAGGAGTAAGGGGGGATGTGAGTAAACGCCCCTATGGGATACTACACGCGTGCCAGATCACCTCAGTGCGGACTGTGGCCCTGTGTCACCTTGGGTTTCGGGGGAGGACTGATGATTTATGGGCCTCTGATTCTGCAAACACTTGCTCATTTCCACCTGTGCTGCTGTTATTCCACTGTTTCCTGCCTGGGCTCGCTCTCTGCAGAGCATGGGTGGTATAACTTGTGTGAATGGGATGGCCAAAGCCAAGCAAAGGGCAAGCAGAAAACAATTGTAAAACTGGTACATTCATCAGGAAGTTCACACAGTAAAACACGCCATATGGTGCTGGCAGGATGGTGGGCCACGGCAACAGAAGGAGGAAATGAGCAAACACAGGAGAAAGGAAAAGTGCTGGACACTATTAAAAAGTTGAGACTACAGGGAAAGGAGTGGAATGCAAGAAAGTGAGACTCAGGGTTGGAGGAGAGGAGGACAGAAGGAAGAGGAGGGTATGGCCGTGAAAACACACAAATACAGGGGAAATGGTGAAGCTGAGAAGAAGTGGTGCAAAGGAGGAGAGTTTGGAGATAGACTTTTCAGTCCAAAAGGGAGAGTGGTTCTTTAGCAGCCATTAGACAAGGCTGACTGGCCGCTGTGATATGCCCACAAGCTGTACGTAGGCCAGTTAGATCGGGTGGAGTTAGTGTCTGTGGGGGGCTGGTAGGAGTTAACTCACCAGGTGGACGCGGTACATAATGCTGATGCCGAGGGTCATGTAGGGCTTGGAAAAGTCGATGACCTTTTCACGCTCTGCCGTGATGGTGAGGCCTGCAACTGCCAGATCAGCTTTCTGAAACACAGAGGGCGAGTAGAATCACATCATGTTTACACTCAGTCAAAAGGCATGCTGGATATAGCCAGGAGGAGGGAACACAAGTTAATGACATAACCAATCATTTGGGCGATTGAAAGGATGACATAGGAAGTGGGCTACTAGATGCTAACTCCCTAATAATGCCCTTTTGTATCCCATAGCCTCTTTGTCTGCCGATACCATTATCTGTTAAGAGGATAATCCAGCATTGACACTGTGTGGGAGTGTGTGTGTGTGAGTGTGTGTGTGTGTGTGTGTATGTGTAGGGCTGAGGGTAACAATTGTGGCTGGCCGAGGGAACACTGTCAAGACAAATCACTTGACAAAGCAATGGCTGGTAAAACACCCAGACAAACACACACAAGTAGAAATGGTCAATGTACACTGAATACTGGATGGCTCCCTGCTAATAATGCGGGCCAGCAAAGTGCAACTGCAAGGGATTTTTCTTCTCCCTGAGGAGCAAAGAGTGAAAGCAGCAACGCATTGCTCTTTGTCTGCTGCAGGAGAACTAAGAGGATTGGGGAGACAGAGAGGAATGGGGAGGATGAGAGTGAGGAGAGAGGAGCTCTGCTGCAGCACTGCAGACGCCACTCAAAATCCACAACACGCTGTTTGTATTTCCAGGAAAGAGAGACAGGGAGTAGGGCATCTAGCTTGAATGAAAAAGTGTTTTGCATTTTGACGTGATGTGAAAATGGATCATTCTTTCCCAAAAATCAACAAGTGCACGTTAAAAACACTCCCAGGAAACATTTAGGGCTCTAATCTCGCTCTGTCTGTGCTTTAATTAGTGTATTACACTTTACAATGTCCACCTTTTTACCATTACCCTAGCCTACACTCCACTCCGAAGCCTAATGTCTCCTGCTGCCCTACCCTCAGCCCGCAGGCTACGACCCTCCATCATCAGCTCTCCCCGGCCCCGCCTCCTCTTTTGTCATTTGAAAGTCTGATCGCCTGCTCCCAGTGCCGGAAGGAAGCAACGCGCAGGGATCGACTATCCAGGCAAATTCAACAAAGAAAGTCACTGATCCTTTGAAAAATGAACAAACGGTCGTAACAGCCACTGAAATATTTATGTGCTGGTAGAATATTAATATTGATTACCAGATTCATCTGCCTGCCTTCCCGCTGTTATGCCTTCTAGTGTAACTGAAAACAAAACATCACACTGTAATACTGGTTGTTTAATGTCGCATCATACCTGTTCTCACTTGCATTCAATCATATCACGCTAATATGGTAAAAAAAAAAGCAAAACAATGAAACTTGTGAATACTAGGGATGAATTAAACATTACCCTCTATGTAGAATTTGACTTTGTGTCTTTGGGGATGCCCCTTCTCTCGAACCGCAGCACTAGTGGATTAAGGAACGAGGACATACTGTACTTAGACTTTGGTCTGAATTCCTTCTGGCATGTCTCACTGTTAGCTCAGGCTTAGTGACACCCGTCAAACTAATTGCCCTCACACAGTGAAATATTGCTCGGTCTGGATGATCCTGGCAGGGACACAGGTACAGTATCTGTTGACCGGAATAACCTAAGGCTGTCCTCTTTTGCTGCTACCGAGTGTACATTTCATATTCTTTCAACCTATCCATTCAATGTACAACCACGGCTGTTCCTTTGTTTTCTTTCACAAGCATTTCACTCTGCTGTCTTTCCCATTCCTTTGAGCCTTTATCCTAACAAGCCAAAGCCTTTCTGTCCCCCTGGGAACATCCCTCCAGATGTCCCATATCCCATGACAAATCCCTCTCAAGCACGTCTTGACTTTGTGTCTGCCCCCCCACCCTGCCACTCCACAGCTCAAGCTCCTGTCAGAGAGGTTGGCTTCGACCATAGTTCTTCTGAAAGTCACCCGTCCACAGGCAACTAACAGGCTTTGACAATAACAAGAGTGGGCACTCCTTGCTTTATATACTTAATTACTTTTCCCTCCATTAGCCCACAGAATTAAGACAGATCACCTCTTAGGATTGGCTCAATTCCTCTCTACTTCATTTCTGTTTTTCTCTTCCTCACCCCAGCCTTCCGTTTCACTTCTCTTCCTCCCCCTCTTCTCCCCTCAGCTCCTTATAACCTTATCTGCCTGTTAACGGCTACATACAGTGTAGCTGGAGGAGGGTAAGACCTCACTCAGACATTTAACAGCAACAATATAGGCCGATTCAGGAGTAAAGTGTGTTATGGTCACTTCAGATGGCTTAAGGAAAGGAGCTGACAGAAAACAAGCCACCAACAAGCTGTGACTGCTTTGGAAAACACAATGTATAAGCTGTAAAGGTCGACTGCTGAATCAAAATGTGTGTATGATAAAAAGGAAAGCTGTTAGCTTTGCAATTTATCAAAGCTGAGCGATATACTTTAGTGTTTTGAGTATGTCAGTGCACAGTGAGAAGTACTTTGGATGTATGATGTGATCAAAACAGGCTGCATTCAGTCTGTGTATGTTTACATACCCGCGAGATTAGCTCTCCCACCATGCCGGTCCACGATCCGTTGGCCCCAGGAACCCCGTACAGTCCGTCCCCCACCAACCGGATTCGATACTTGAACTTGAGAATATCTGCTAGCTCTTTCAGCATGTCCACACAGAAGCCTTCGTAGCGATCATTTCCCTCAAGTTCTTGGTGGTTTGGCCGCAGCATCACATATGGATTCTCCTGAAAAACACACGGTTTGTCACAGTCTAAGACAGTGCATCTCAAACTGACTGTCTACTACTGGTCGAGTGACAAAGTAAGACAGAGCATAGAAAAGACACTGAAAATATATTTCAGTGTCAGGAAACACAACCCAACCCGAACAGCACTAGGTGTCCGGGTTACTTTTCATAAAAAATCCTTTAAGGCTTGTAAAAATAATAAAAATAAACTGTGGAGGAAGTTTCAAGACTGAAAAATGACTCTTGCTTTACAAACTGGGGTTGTCAAGTCTCAAATACATTGACAGAAAGGTTCTCATGAAATACATGACTGAGTTCTATTATGGGACGTGTAGGATTCATGGATTTGTTCGAGATGAGACAGGACATCTTAGACGCCGTTGCTTAAATTCTTTTTTTAAAGCCTCAACATCCTTTGCATTCTAAAAAATGTAGTGTGCATATTTATGTTCAATATGATTGCTTTGCTTTACAGTTAGGAGGTCCTTGTTCACACCCGGTAAGCCTTGACTGTAAACTGAGATTTGTGGATTTGAAGCAGTGCCAGGCTCTAAAATCTGTTATATCTGCAAAAAGTGGATAGGAAACAACAGCAGTTTTCCTCTCACCACACGCTCACACACCTATTTACAACCTGTCTTTTAGAAAAGCAACTCCCTGTTTGGCTGTCTCTTTATTTATGTCTTGTTTTGTCATTTAGTTGATGTTGGGAAAGGATTTAAAGAGCACCGCAGTGATGTATTTTGGAGCCACCTCTATTGTGCTATTTTTCAAATAATGCAACTGTCATACTAGTGCGCACAGGCTCCACTACATCATAAAAAAGACAGCATAATGTACCACTTTGCAGTTGCTCCGTCCCTGCACTCAGCTCATGAATCCAGGTAAAACAAACCTACTTTGGCAACGTGACATTAGATAAAAATGATTAACATCAGTGTTTTCTCATACAGTTTGTGCTCCACATATTTTTTAAGTGAACAAGGCTGAATGAAACTAAAGTTCAGTTCACTTTTTTTCAGTGGATAGAAGTTGTATTGTGTGTTATTTTGAACAACTCAGGTTTATGTGGTTATGCTAAAAATATACTACCTCACAAACCATGCTCTTGTTCAAGAGATAGTCGACTATAGCGGGGAGTGTGTAATTCAACAGAGCCATGTGCGTAAGCCATTTAAAGCACTGTGACAGCTTTCAGGAGTGTTAAGCATACAGAGTAGTGTTGTGGTGTTTTTTCGGAACTGGAAAATAAGTGAATTTGTTTTGTAATCGCCACAGCTGGAAGTATTTATTTGCTTGGTGGCTAGTTGGCTGGCGATTGATTTGCCTCACAGTGAAAGCCAGAACAAATATTTGATCCACAGAAATCGGGAACATTTGAGAAATTGCTGGTGGCACAACTGTTACTGTGACTTGCCCAGTTGTCATGGCAACTGTTTGGTTCCACCTGTAGCTGCGTACTGGAGGAGGGGGGGTCACTTTGTCAGCAGATTGGACGGCTTTGCCTTTTCTTGTCTGCATCACTGGGCAGTAGAACCAACAGCCTCCTGTTCTGCTGCGATAAGACTGAGAATAAAGTCACTTCTGATCGACTTTCTGTCTGGATCTCTACACCAGGAATCGGCATATGGATTCAATTATATCTAACCAGTCTCACAGTTTGATCGAACATACTTGCTTTACAGCTACAATAGCCTAGAGAGTCTTACGGAGAGAGGGGTATACGACACATACAGTATCTTAGGTAATATTCTTTATTCCAAACCCATATCAATTTGATCCCACTAAACTTGATTTAGCGTATTCCTCTGTGCCATTAACCTCAGAGGTGTTGAGCTAACAACAGCTCTTTGGTTAAGGTCCAAAAAAAGCAAAGGCTTTGGTTAGTTGTAATGCAATTCTATGCGCTTCAAATTTCTTCAATACAAAAAAAACACAAGATGTCTCTCTAACATTAAACGATTCACTCTTAACTTCTGTTTGTGCTAAAGACTACAGTGGCAAGCTGTTCGATTTAAAATACAAGATCAAAGTCACTGAAGTTTTCAGCCGCTAAGGACATTTCATAAATGTATCAAATTTTGAAAGTAAATCCCTCCCTCTGTTAATTAATTTCTTGAAACAAACACAATTTGCAACTCTGGTTTTACACGACATCTATACATGCTCATGTTTCAGCATGCATGAGGCACAATATAAATGCACATTTCATCTACAGAAGGTTCTCACAAAGACTAGCAGTCAAACCAGACTGAGTCAGACATTTTCACTCACTTTAAAACAGTAAGTTGCCTGGAGGATATATTATGTATTATTATATTCCATTACAAAAATGCAAAAAACATACCGAAATGGGGTCTTTTTTATAAGTGCCATCCTCTTTGTTCAATTGTTCCCAATGAGGAGCAATATCAAGTGTATACATCTGCGTATTTGATACTCATTTCAAAACCTCTACCAAAAAAATATACAAGCCTTCTGTGGAGTTGAGAACAAAATGATATCAAAATAAATGCATAAACGTTTTAAAAGTTTATACAGGGGTATAAAAGTGCCAACTTCCATGAAAGCAAAATCACATGGAAATTCGAGCTGTTTTCTTTCGCACATCACGGCAAAAGAGAAATAAAGCTTTAAAGGCAAGGCAAGTCTATTTATATAGCACTTTTCAACACAAGGCAATTCAAAGTGCTTTACAAAAAATGAAAGACATTAAGAAAATGGCATTTCAAATCAGTCATTAAAGAAATCCTGACTTTTAAAAAGCAGCCTCTTATTCCCAGGCCAAGAGGTGTCTGTTTGTGGACTGATCACTTTGGAGGATGAAGCATTCTCCTACATATGCACAGTCGAGTACACACACACACACACACACACACACACACACACACACACACACACACACACACACACACACACACACACACACACACACACCACACACACACACACACCACACACACACACACACACACACACGCGCGCACACACACACACACACACACACACACACACACACACACACACACACACACACACACACACACACACACACACACACACACACACACACACACACACAGACACACACAGACACACACCACACACACACACACACACACACACACACACACACACACACACACACAGAGCGGCAGGTGCATCTGTGGCTGCTGCTCCCATTCAACTTCCTGCACCACAGTTTTTCAAACCTCAGCGTGTTCAATATGTCTTCACAGAGCCATCCTCACTCCCCTCAAATGTTTTCTTATCTGTAAAAACTTGTTCTCCAGAGCCCAGTGAACTAGCAGCTGAGATAACATTTTCTCACAGGGTTTGGTACTTTGTGCCACATAAGCTAAATATTAGTTCATTGTTAAAAAGGGCCAGGTTATGTAAATGTTTTATGAATTTCAACAAACTGTGCTTGATGTTAAACAAAATGCAGAAAATATGAATACAGAGAAGTACACACAAACTTCAAGAAACAGGGACAGATCTGGTGTCTGTGTGCAATTCAGGTGCGCATGGCTCAGTGCGGCTGAGCCTCTGCGTCTGCTTTTATCTGTTAGCTTTGTGTGCACTATAATTCTTCCCAATGCATATGTAAGTGGGTAAAAGAGCTCTCAGTGACGCGAGGCAAGTCTGCAGAGAGAATGACCACGAGAACTGCAGTGGACTCAGGCAGAAAGTGTCTCTTACAGCAGGGAATTATGGGCCGTTTCAGGCATTAACAAGAAAAATGGGTCTTGGGTTGGGATTTAAATATTGAGACGGTATGATTCCCTAACAATGGCAGAAAGCTGGCACCAAAGAGAGATGTCCCTGTAGGTAAAGCTCTGCTCCATTTGATTTCTTTTTAGAAACAAGGAATAACAAGCAGTCCTTAATTCTGTGAGCAAGGAGCATTTATAGAATTTAAGAGCATAATTAAATGAGAGATATATTCAAACTCAAGGCTGTTTAAGTATTTGCTAGTGGTGTAATAACCAAATGTATCTAGAGTGAAGCCAGTGAAAAATGAAGGAGAAATCCCTCACTTAAATGTGTGATGATGTGAGTTGTTTATGGACTTGGTAGTTTTCTCACTATCTAGCCTGTGTATTAAAAATGAATGACCTATGATGCACAATAATATTACAATATTTTTCAACATTATTGTTGATTTCAATGTGTGACCAAAGGGAGAAAGGGGTGCATCTGATAATGAGTATTATCATGGGGAAGTGGTGGTGGCTGATGGTGGTCAGTTTTGCAAAGAGAGCTTAAATGTCCAGGTGGAGAATTTTAGAATAAACAAAGGGTTTAACTTGTACAAGTTTGATTCATTTGGGAACAGATGTGCACTGTAGGAGAACCCTACAAAGACAAGCACATATATCTTTGAGGCCTATTCAGTGATACTCTGCTTCAGAGACTTCGTTTTAGGTTGTTCAAGGAGTTTGGATGCTGCTTTTCTTGTTAGCATGTCCAATAGCTAGATCTATAGATGTTCCTGATTCTAGTTTAACCTCAAGATTATACATGTGCCATGCTCCAGGTTCCAACAGGTTGTCTCATTGAGAATCCAGAAGCTCCACTTGAAGATATGAAAACTCATGAAGTCCAGCAGGCACACAGTCCCAATGCAAATCACCTGAGATCTATAGGAATTGGAAAAGATGACAGTTTCTACTGTGTGTCAAGCTACTGTAAATTTGAACGGAGAGAAAACGCAATACCCCACAATATTGCCCCAAGAAAGCAAAGAAAGGTTTTTTTTGTATTAGCTACTGAGGGTATAAAGCCATTATTTCACTAACAGTGCCTGCAACCAACTCAATTTCTGATTACAAATACATGTCTTGAGGTCCTGCAGTGAAGTGATAATCAATCCTGTGACCCCGTGAGCTGTTTTAAAAAAAAAAATTGAAGTGGGAAGATGACGGCCATGTGTAGGTGTAATGAAACTGCCTTGTAATGGCCAGGTGAACATTTCAAAAGAGCACACAAACACACACACTGAACAAACTGAGCACACAGAGGAAGAGAGCATCCATTACGATATAGTGCATTCACACACAAACGCACACAAACACACACAGTCTCCCAGGCCAGTGCCACAGGTAAGGAGTTCCTGTGGAGGCTTTCAGCTGTGGCGTGTCTGCCGCCCACAAGCCAGATAACAGCGGCACGGCAATCACACCATGATGAATGAGCTGTGATAGGCACTGAAAATTGCTCCTTGGTGGCTTCCGAAGTTTGGTCCAGGGACTCTATTTCTCCAGGGTGAAATCAAAGCTCTGTGCTCAGCCAATTCTTTCTTTCACACCCACTTTCTGTTGTGAAAATATTGTCTCATTTGTACTCCCCCTGAACGAAAACATGCACACACACCTCCGTCGTCCCAAAGCTGTGTGAAATGAACCGTTCCATCTGAATCCCAATCAGTCTCAATGAGACCGGAGTTGTTCAGTGGCGGACTATGGCTATATGTCCTTCTTTCTCTCATTCCCACAGCTCCACAGCTGATAAGCCATGCAGCCACTCAGAATAACACATTGGACCAATCTGCTCACAGGCTACTTTGTGTCTTATCGTCTGATTAACAGAGAGGAGGAGGAGCTGAGCAACAGACAGGCTTTGTGTGTATCGAGGGATGAAGAAAGGCATGAAACACGGGCAGAAGAACGGTTTTATCCAGTTCCAACATGAATCTGTTTTTACACCTTTGATGTGATATCAAAGCTACAGTAAAACACACAAACTGAGCTTATAAACAGCATTATATTCTGCTCACAAATGTTTGAAATTACAAACACCTGCTATTCTAATTAAAACAGGTTGCTAATGAATTGATGAGCAATTAATCACTGTTAAGAATTGGATCAGTCAAGAATATATTACCTGTGCCACAACATTTGTGCTTCGCGTGGTGAGTAGCTCGATATGTGTTTCAGTGGCTGGACTCAGAGATCAATGACTCGAGGTCATTCCAACTGAGCTGAAGTTTTTCTTCCAACAAAGTTCATTATACCTGCTTTACAGGATTGTCCGATGTAAAATCTTCAACATTTTGATCAAGGGGGAGTTACAGCCAACAGCGCATGACTCACCAAACACCCTGTTCATATGCTAATGAATACAATTCATGAATAAAATTATATGTGGTGAGAATACAAAAAAAACATGCTAAATGATGAGAACTCTTGGAGAGAGATCAAGATGCAGTGAGAGGCAGCCAGGAGGAGGAGGAGGAGGAGGAGGAGGATACGTCAGTAGGGTTTCTGTCCCAACTTCAAGTGTAGCCTCCCGGAGCAGCCAAACACATTAACGCTATCAAATCTGGTCGGACGAAAACATCATGCAAATGAGTTTCGATTGAGGCATATTGAACCCTTTTTAATTAACAGAATGTTTTGACTGTCCTGTGTGACAAGTGTCATCTGGTTTGTTCTCTAATAAGCCTATACATTTGGCCTTTTCGTAATCAAGAGCATGGGACATTTTGAGTGATAGAATTTTCCCTCTTATTCAAATTGTGAAGTAAAAACTTCTTTGCAGCAATGTTGAGCCAATCATGAAATGAGGGAAACTGGATTCGCCTGTCAATACACTGATATTTATTGAGAATTCGTACGGCCGGAGAGATCACAGTATACTACAGTTCTCATGTAAGATACCAGCCAACTCTGAAGACAAAAGCGCCAAGAACACATCTACAGTATATGTAAGAAGAGGAGGGCCCTAAAACACGCGGGTTTTCCTTTAATGCATGCCAGATGTCGAGACAAAGACTCGTTGCATTGCAAACCCACATGAGCCAAGCTTCTCCCCCCACAAGACATCAGATGACCTCTTGACCTGTGTCTTCCTGAGAAGCTATGGATCACATTACAGGCAGGAATACACTTTAACCATTAAACAGATTTCCGAGGACAAGTCACTAAACTCTATATACTTTAACAAAACTAAAATATTCCTTTACACAAATAATGTTTATTTAATTTGTTTAAATGTCAGCTGCTTATATCAAGCCTTCAATGAGCAAAATATAACTTATAATTAATATATTATATTATTATTATTAATATTATATTCGTTAACAGGATTCATAGATAACTGATAGTTAACACGGCTGGTAATTAAGGACATTTATTAAGAACTGCATCCCTCGTCACAGGTAGCAGAGTGAGGGTAGTGAGAACTAGCACTCACAGGATCTATATTTACAACAAAGGCTGAGAATGGCTGACATGGTGAATTATTAGCTCCTGCTGATGCACTGTGATGTACCATCATCTGAAGTACTCAGGGCAAAAACAATCGCACAGCAGCAGTTCCTCTGATCCCAAGAGGACTGAGTTTGGATCAGAAAATACAAAATGGGTTTTTGATATGGTAATTGTCTGTCAACCACAGAATGTCAGCCACATGGAGATCAGATGAGGAGTTGAGCCGATTACAATGATACACAACCCTGTTGATGTGTGAGTATCAGCGTGCATAGAGTAGTACTCACTAATATTGTCGTGATGGTAAGAGTAGTGTTGAAGAGTGTGTCCGTCACGTTGATTGATGGAAGCTTTCTCTCCATGGACAGTCCACCTTCAGAGTGCCACAGGCCAATCTGTGAAAAGGACACACACACACACACACACACACACACACACACACACACACACACACACACACACACACACACACACACACACACACACACACACACACACACACACACACACACACACACACACACACACACACACACACACACACACACACACACACACACACACACACACACACACACACACACACACACACACACACACACACACACACACACGTCACTAAGTCCATCAGTTGGAAAAGGCCAATATAAACATCCTGTTTTTAATTGCCTCTTTCCTTAAAGGACAATAAGTGTGACCTTCGTTGAAGAAAATGCAAGAGAGGGAGAAAGCAGTGGACAAATCACAGTGTTTTGAGAAAAGGTGACAGCGAGAGTAAGGCAGTAGGAGAAAAATAAGACAACCTTTGTGTGGCTCCTTGAGGAGAAAACACAGGGCATGTGTTCAATCAGAGGCAACAGAATGCATTCATTAACCCAATTACCAGTAAATCCTGTGGCACAGAGCCACATTCTCATTTTCATTACAGCTCAAGAGGGGATTCACACCTCCACCTCACATGGTGTCTTTCCTCCCATCCCCTATCAATCTGTCTCTGCCTTCATCGGTTTTCATTCATTTATTTGTGTGACCCAAGTTTGTCAAACAACATGACGACAGACATGATCATTTTGTAACTCTATACTTATGCCTCTTGCTACTGTCAAATACACATTTCTCTTAATAACCTCCATCTTACCATAATGTCCTTGACAAAAGAAAAATCTTGGCGATTTGTATTTTCTTACCTTGAAGGATTTACACGGTTCCTCTAATGGTTGGAACAATTCTGCAACCTTGAAGCTTATTAAAAACTGTGCAAGCACTGGATAAACTGAAAAAATTCAAAGTTGTTTTTCCTGCCAGGAGAGCGTTGACTTTCCCTGTGATAACCAATTGACCCGTGATGATGGGCATGAGCGTTTTATTATTCTCACTCAATACATCTATGCTTGTGATTATATGGTAGGGAGTATGTGACCCTTCACAACATCACAACGTGTGCAGAACTACCAGCAAAACAATTTGGCTTTCCTTATCATGGTGGCTTCACAAGCTATCATTTCATTTATGTGGCTGGCGCCGAAACAGGCAATTTCAGTGTCAATATCAAGCAGAACAGTTGCTCTGTGTTGGCACAGAAGATAACCTCAGATAAATCAGTTAGTTTGCAAAACTAATCTCCTGTAGGATTGGATATACTGTATGAGGTGTATTCTAACAACTTGAGGTCAGGTATTTTAGTTTGAAATCACAGTCTGTCTTTTAATATGCAAACAAACTAGGAAAAAGGCAGCAATTTTAAGTCTTTTATAAAAAAATAACCTGTGTGAAACATAATGGTGACAATTTCAAAACACATTCAAACTCTGTTACCTACCTCATTATGTAAACATTGCCACCTCTGTCTGGAGAGAAATAATATTCCTTATCTCAATAATCAACCTCCCTCCATTATTAATATTACAGTGTATGTACGAGGAATAAATGAGAGAATATGGCATTTCCTTTAGCCTTGATACATTGTTGATGTGAAGCTATCTACAGTATGTCAATGAAATGAGTTCTCGACTACATGCTGGAAAACCTTTGGGAGTATTCATGTTTGGAAACCAGAAGATGAACAGTTGGATGATCAGTGATTGAAGTCTGAAATGAAAAAAATAAAAACTACAGTAAACAAAGCTCTCATTTCTTGGTCATAGTTTGCTTCAAGGGATTACGGCCCATTCATCATGATCAGTGCCTGCATTTGGAAGCTGTTTAACCACTCTCTCTAGCTCTGATCATAAATTATGATGTGAGGTACAAAAAAAAAGAAAAAGGAAGAGAGAGTTCCCGGAATCAAAGATTTCCTTTGAGAGTACATGATCAAAAGATCTCTCCCATTCTCAGGTTTACTTGTTGGGAGAAAAGGCACCTTGATAAATAGCACAAATAGACTATAGCTACCCAAACCTCTTGAACAACACACTATACACTCCTCTGATGACGGCCTCAAGAAACAGAGAGGTAGAACATGTGAGCGTATATGGTGGCACGACCAAAAAGGAACTTGGGAAATATGGAGTTCAGCAATCAGCGTACATAATCAGTTGTCAGAGCCGGTGGGGGGTGGGCTACTTCTGGGCTCAGCAGGTGTCAGCAGAGGGCTGAGCATGGGGGTGACTGAGAGGTTAATGGGATGGGGTGGCACCACGACTCCTGCCCAGGAACAGGAGGTGAGAGAGATGTGGGAGCTGTGAGCAGGAAGAAGAAGAAGCATATGCTGGCGGGGGAGGAACTAGCTCTGGTGGCCCTGTTGCAACCTGAGCTTTGAGGGGGAGAGAATAGAGCTGTACTATCTGTGAGTCACTCCGACTAACAGGCAGGAAGATCTGCTAATATAAGCAGGGAAGCAAACCCACCGTTACATTCATCATTTAGACTGAAAACCTTATACGGTAACTATTTAGTAATAATTCTGTAGGTTGTGCAAATTACAGAAAAGTGAATGGATCGCTAACCATTGCATTCATCTTGGTGAAGGAACACCACTGAACCATTGCATGATATCTCATTATACTCGCAGCACAACCCAAACATCGATTAGACTCATAAGATTCAACAGAGAGAGAAGATGCTGCACATTGCCACATATATATACAAAATAATATATTTATCTACTTGATGTTTCTCATTTCAGTGTCATTATTTGGGTATTTACACTGCAATTACAATCAATAACCACAGTGCAATACAAGCAGGGAGTCTAGGAAACAAATTCAGACAAAGTTCAGACTGTTGACGAGTACTGTGCACTATTTATTGTACTGAGGAGCAGGCTGGCAGGAAGAAGAATCACAAATAATAAGCGAGAGCGGAATAGGAGCAGAGCAAAAGGAAAAGACTGAGAGAAATAGAAATATGCAGGCGAATGTCAATCTTGTACTGAGTAGGTGCGGTGAGGCTGACGAACGGAATGAAAATCAATGAGAAAGTATGGGGAGCAGCCAGCTAGGGAGCCAGAACATCAGGCGGAGAGAACAAGGGAAGTAGACAGCATCTGAGAGTCAGAAGACAGACAGAGAGGTGGAGAGAGAGTTTATGCGAGTGAAAAATAAAGAGCAACAGCGAGAGAGCAAGGTAGAAGAGAGAGACCGACAGGGAAAGTGTCAACAAGTGCAACGACGTTCCCATGGAGGGATTACCCAGGGTTCATTCCGCAACCTGGAATTACAGCACGGGGAAAGATTAGGGAGGCTGCTCATTGAAGCGTCAGGATTGGCTGATTTTCCTGTCAGAAAAATGCCGTATCCAATAGGGTGTGGCGAGACAGTGTTGTGACAGAGCCATCCATCACATATGAGAGAAGCAATAGCTACCATTATCAAGCAAAATGTCAAACAGCCCACTTACACGTGACCCGGGCCAAAGCATTCAGGTGTCACAGCGCTGCAATGAGTCTGACTGAGGATGGAAATGTGTGTGTGTGTGTGTGTGTGTGTGTGTGTTTACTGTCTGTTAGCGGATGTGTGAATTGCTTAGGCAAAATAACCTTGCGGGCCTCTGAGAATGGACTTTTATTGCTCTTATAGCTACGTTATGCCACCTCAGCTTGATGAAAATATGCTGAAGTAGATGCAGTTTCTACCCATCAGCGAACATTACCACTTGTTGAATCAGCAGCTATCTCCCGCTTAAAATGTATATTTAGAGCTAACCCACTCACAATGATCGCATTGTTCAAATGACGAGCAAAGACATTGTATAAGTGTGTTAGTGTCTAACTGTTATGTGTGTTTTCTCAATGGAATAGAGAGGGAGATAAATAGCTTTTTTTTAACCAAAACTCTCTCTGGTGTGACTCATCAGCTGGAATGAGAATAATCAGGGTGGTGCTTTAGGCAAACTTCATGGGGTGAGACAGACAGAGGTGGTGGTGTAGGTGGTCGACACTGCCCTACAGTAAAGATAGTTTCAGGGAAAATAATATAATTGAAACTCAAGTCCCAATTGAAGAAAAATAGGCAGATTTGTGGTATTTTCTCTTATACCTCGCAGCGAGTATTGAAAAAGTTGACGACTTTTAAAAACTCTTTTATCAAACTCTAAACTGTGATTTGCGCTGTAATTGTTGTTAAACCTAACACACAGATCCACACAAACGGCATATTTTCAGCACACTCATTATTTGGCATTATGGAACTAGTTGTTCAGTCCTAGTAATGAGACTAACTCTAGGATGAAAAGAAAGTCTTTCGTCTGTCAGAGCAGATCTTCAAAGCAGCGCTGCATGTTCTCCAAGTGCTGCATCCCTAGTGAAGCAGTCAGCAAACAATGGATGTCCTTCCAGCCACAGTCCCTGCTCAGTCTATGTACCCCCACATTACTGACTGTCCAAATGTACTCATCTCTAGCGACCGTGTTACTGCAGACATACTCTTAACACTCGGGGAAAGAACAAGACCTTTAGGGATGTGTTCGCTTATTAACTTAGTCTAATCCTAATCTTCATTATCCAAACTGAAAGTCTAATGACAGAGGGTGTCTGGACAGACTGTAAATCCCCTTGAGGCAAAAAACCCAACTGGACAAAATGAAAACTAACATCTGAACTTAGTCTTCGGTGCGATAGTTATTACCGGGACAAATTACTCTGCAGTAACAGTCAGGTAATTATCACCTCAAGCTATAAGTGACAGTGATGGAAACCAATGGGTTGGACACATATTTTCAGGCGAGATGATATGCTATACTGTATTCAAACAATTATTACAATAAATTCATATAATATTAAAGGTCCCATAACATGGCCATTTCTACTGATCATAATTCTATTGTTTAGGTACTAATAGATTTACATTGTTCAATTTTCCAAACTCACATGGGTTTCTCATACAGCATCTCTGTATAGTATGTGGTTTCACTCTCTGTCCTAAACGGCTTGCTGGAGCTCCTGTCCCCCCCTCCCTAT